CTCATCACAATATTTATATATGTAAGTGTATATGCGAACATTTATGAACACACATATGTGTGAGAAATTGTTGTTGTGTTATTATTTGGATTTTGAAATAGGACTGGTTTGATAATACTAAAAACTGTAAGTAGATCTTGATGTGGGTTGAAGTTTTTGTACTTGTTAATGATTTTAATTTTCAAAATTTATGTGAAACGTCCATCAATATTAGGTCAAAATGTGAAAAATACATTCGGGTGATTGATTGTACATGTTTTGACTTGTTTAACTAGAAAGGAATGAATTCCAGCCACTGTTTGTTTTCTATTTTTTCTTCATCAAAATTAAAAATATGACCGTTATCCAGACATCAAGCCACCAAATTTGAATTTCTATCTCTTGTGTGGGGCCCATAACAGCAATATTTTTATTCTTATTTTAACATTAATGTATACCAAATGGGGTACCAATAAAATTGTTTGCCACTATACATTTTTTAAAATTTATTTGCAATCATTATGCAATTAATTTATGATTTTTATTTGCCACCAAATTTTCATTTTTTCAAATTCTGATATAAAAGAATCATCTTTACAGTATGCGTAATTATTTTAATTGAATACTAATTATTCACTAATCTTAACAAGCTATGTTTTCCCCGATAATATTCGATGCAATTATGACTTTGATTGTACTATGAATACCTTTATATGATTAATATCATTTGGGTTTAATTAAATGTTGATATATTTCTTATAATTTGTACTCGTTAATTCCTTTTTTCTATTGAACAAAATTTTAAATTAGAGTTATTGAATACAATAATATAGATCTAGTTTACAATAACATACAATCTATAAATATTCTCGAAGAATATTTTGTTGTTATTCTTGAAGTAGTACAACATTATAATTAATATTCTTGAAGAATATTACTTGCTTCCGAAGATCATGAACTCTATTTTTTTTAATATTCCATAAGAATATTATTTTCTCTTGAAGAGCATAAATTATAATTTTCAATATTTTAGAAGAATATAGAAATATTTTTCATAAAAAACATGAATTACAATTTTTAATATTTCAAATTAAGATATTGATTAATTATTGCTGACGAAGCAATAGTAAAATATGAAGTACTTTCGAAGAAGTACAACTCTAAAAATATTAATATTTGTTTAGAAAACATACTCATGGAGAATTAATGTTTTTAAACGATTATTTGTTAGTGCTCATGAAGAGCGCAACATTATTAATATTTCAAAAGGGAATATTATTGCTACTGAAGTAGCACACTATTATTGACAGATATTTTAATTAGATTTTACTTACTCCAGAAGAGTATAATTAAATATGATCTAATGTAAATTATGTTTTTAGTTTTAAGAGTAAATTCTTATTCAATTTATTATTTCAAATAATAACATGTCATTGCTCCTAAAGAGCATAACACTACAATTCCAATATTTCAGATGAATATTGATATTGCTATTAAATAAGTGATAATAAAATAATACGTTCTCTTGAAAGAACATATATTTTGAAGAATATATTATGTGTAATTTATGAATTTGGGTTTATCCCTGAAGGAAAACATACGACTTATGTTATGTGGACATTGATCATTATATGATCATATAATGTTTAATCATATTTCTCGAAATTAAAAAATTGAATTATATCTCATGTTGAATCAAAAGTTAAATTTGATTTTATTATTTGGCACAACCAGTTGGACCATTACTAGACCAATAATGATGTGAATTTAAAAAAAATTAATGGATATTCAATGAAAAATCAGAAGATTTTTCAATCAAATGTGTCATTTATTACTCATTGCCCATGGATAAAGAAAAATCGTTTCAACATCAAAAACAACAAAAACGAGAGCAAACATATAGTAACGGATTCGAAATTGTTATTAAACATCACTAGCTAAAATAATTATTGAATTCCTTATATTTCTAAAAATTAATTAAGGTGATAGATGAGACCCTATCACCCATCACATTGACCATCTAAATATTATTTGTATCGAATAGATTCAATACAAATACTAGATGATTGCATAGTGTTCGCAACCTAAAGTTTGTGAAATTATTGCTCAAATTATAAGCATAATTTTCAGATTATATAATCAAGACCATGTCTTGTTAATGCTAGTGGGCATAAATCTCAACATTTTAATAAGTTTTAGTTGAGATATCGATAAATGATTTAACACTATCGTTTGTTAAATGAGTCCAATTAATTTAATTGAGAAAGTATTTTTCTATTTTTATTTAGGGAATTCTATTACGCATCATGCCAAAATCATAACTCTCTCTATCACAATCAACTTATGGTCAGATCCTAATTTTTTCATCTAAATATTTTGATAGTGCAATATATGTAAAAATTGAACACCACAATGCACTGAAATAAAAAATAAAGAATGTTGAGAATAATTATGTAGTTTGAATTATTATCTCAAATGGGTGATATTTTGTAACGCTGAAAAAATGATTGTCAAATTGATTGGATAATTTTCTTAGCAGTCAGGGGAAGAGATTAAAAGGTTGAAAAATAATGTATAAATGCATCATCTTCTAAATCTTCACAAAATATCATTCGAACCAAAAGTTCAAAAGATAATTTATTTAAATACATTTATTGATAAAAAAGATAAACAATACCTCGCGCACTAGTTTTAAATGCTCCAACACGAATTGATGTCCTATGAGGACAATTTGTTAGTATTATATTTAATATATCTATGGTACGCCCAAAGCTTGATAGTATTCGATTCTAATACAAAAAATCTTCAAATGAAAATGGAGCAATTAGCAAATATGGTCTCGTTAAGAAGGCATATACTCTTAATGAGTATTTAGACATAACAAATTATAAATTATCAGCAGAGGTTTAGGTATTTAATATGTTAAAACTTGAGAGATCTCAATAAATTATGTTATTATGGGAAAATAAATAGAATCAAGAAAAAAGGGTTGTTGACAATGCTTCTACACATGATTTACTGCATCATATTATGAATAGTGAGGAATCGAAATAAATACGTTGAAATATATCGATCGAAATAATGTTTGGTCAAATAAAAGGGACGCAATCTTAAATTGAATTTACTAGAGAAACATGAAGTTTTTGGACCTGTAATTCGAAAATCTAAAAGTATATACTTATACGAAAAGGAAATGAAAAAAATGAAGTCGTAATGTGTAATGCACGACTTTTAATATAGTGAATTTCACAAAGATTATAGTGGATGAAATCACAAGCCTATATAATGTTATCTTAACAATATATGAAATTTGAAATACGTGATAGTCAACTCATCTGACATGACTATTAATGTTATCTTTGTAAGATTTAATATGCCTGAATCATAACTCAAGTGATACATGCCCGAAAACCATGTTTTTCAGATCATTATATTAATTGAAACAATCTGAACGAATGTGGTATAATCGTTTTAGCGAGTATTTGTTGAATGAATACTATAAAAATGACGATATACGCTCATGTGATTTCATAAAGAAAACAAATATTGGATTTAGAATTATGGTTGATGATTTAAATTTAATTGGAACTCTTGAAGAGCTCAACAAAACTGCAGATTCATTGAAAAATGAATTTGAGATGAAGAATTTGGGAAAAACTAAATTTTATCTCGAATTGCAGATTGAACATTTCGCAGATGGATTATTTGTTCACCAATCTTCGTATACAGAAAACTTTTTAAAATGATTTTATATGGATAATGCACATCCATTGACATCGCCTATAGTTGCTCGATCACTTGATGTGAAAAAAATCCATTTTGTTCACTTGAAGATGGAGAAAATGTTCATGATCTTCCCGAAGTACAATATCTTAGTGTAATTGGAACATTAACTTATCTTGCAAATTACACTCGACTCGACGTAACTTTTTTTTTTATAAATCTCTTTGCAAGATATAGCTGTACATTAACTCTAAGACATTGGAATTGTGTTAAACATATTTTTCATTACTTAAAGGGTACTATTGATATGAAATTGTTTTATTCTCAAAAGTCGGAATCTGTTTTAGTGGGACATGTAGATACAGCTTATCTGACTAACCCGCATAAAGTTAAATTACAAACAGGTTATGTGTTTACACGTGAAGTAACTGTTATATCATGGATCTGTGAATCAATCATTGACAACTACATTCTCAAATCATTCTGAATTTATTGCAATCCACGAAATAGATCGAAAATGTGCATGAACGAAAAACATGACCTATCATATCCAAGCATCATGCGGGTTAACTTTAATAAAAGATAATCCAACAATTTTGTATGAAAATAACGCAGCTTGTATTGCACAACATAAATGATACTATATCAAAAGTGACAAGACGAAGCATATTTCTCCAAAATTCTTTTCTATATATGAGCTTTAAAAGAATGACGACATTGATATCTAACAAATTCGTTCAAGTGTCAATGTGGCTGATTTATTCACAAAAAATTGCCAACTTATACATTTAAAAAATTGGTTCAAAAGATTATAATGCACGACTCAAAGATCTTCAGTGATTTTTTTTAGGGGGGAGTAGCGGTACTCTTTTTCCTTAGTCTAGGTTTTGTCCCACTGAATTTTCCCAACAAGATTTTAGTGAGGCAACATTTTTTTATACTCCCAAATATCGATAATAAACTGTACTTTTTTTTTTCCTTTGTTTGATTTTTTCCCATTAGATTTTTATTAAACAAGATATTTAACGAGGCAGCTATTGTACAAATAATCATCAAAGGGGGAGTGCTATAAAATAATGAGATAATTATTGAAGATTATTTAGTATTATCACGATACATGGATAAATCTTATCTAATTTAGAAGATCTATTTTATTCCAATTGTAACCCTTATTTTAGACTTTATTAATATAGGACATTGATTGATAATAACATAAATTGAGTTTTGACTCTCTATTTCTTCTCTTATTTTCTTTCTCCCCTCTAGTTTTATAACAAAATGAATATTTTATTTAAAGTTTAGCCAAATGTTTCAAAAAGTTTAGCCAAACACGCGAAAAAGAGGCCAAAGAAATTGTTTCAAAGGCTTTCATGGAGCGCCGAGCGCGCGATTTACCCTATATTTCCGCCAGAAAACTAACGAGTTACCGTCACCCGAACGCCAACACCAGCAAAGCCATGTGCATTGTTCACAATAATTTCACCAATTTAACCAAATCCCAACTTCTCTTCAATTTATCAGATCACAGAATTCGATAATTTGATTCCTTCATCACCGAGATCCATCAATGGAAACTAACTCAAATTTGAACCCGAGTCCGAATGACAGTTACAATGCGAGGCCGTTGTTGTTGCCAGAGATCGGGTCCGATGGTATAGCACGAGAATCACCCGTCATCGCCTACACAGAGAAGGTTAGTTCAGAATTTACACACACGCACGCACACACGTAGTAAATGGTGAATTGGTATTAATGGAGTTCTGATATGGTGATATTTTGTGTTGTATTTTGGTTTCAGATAATAGAGGAAGAGCAGCTTCAATTGAGAAAGTACGTTAACTTTCTTCTCGTCTCTGAATTGTGCTTGCTTTTATTTTGTTATATTTAAGTTAAATTTTATATTTATATCATAATAGAGCTTAAATCCTATACGTTTCAAGGGCACGCTACTTTGTTAACAACTGATCGTTTGTCTTGCTGAATATTTCTTGGATTATGGAGTTGAAGTATACAATGTTGCAGAATTAATTGATTATTCTGTCTCTATTGCTTTAGTAATCAAGAACAATTATTTTGTGAAAACAATGGCAAAAAAAGCTATGAAGCCTAACAACTTCGTGCAATTATCTGCTACATATGGCTAGAAATAACTGAATGTGTAAATTTTAATTTGATGAAAAAGGATTATGTTTTAAAACTGCAACAACGTGCTGATCTACAATAAGCATTAGAGTGACTCTGTAAAAATAAATAATTTAGGCCTCTAAACTGGATCGCATAAAATGATGAAATATATGATATTACATTCTTACATTTCCATTCCACAATGTAGTGCTAGATTACACAATTCTTCTTTACTAAATGTTCCAAAATTTTGATGCTAGCAAAATCAGTAACTCGTTGAGGAAACCTTATATTATTCAAGAAGGATGCTAGCAAAATCAGAATCTATCCCCTATCTGTAAGACTGTAACAGAACTTTTTAACCAAAAAACACATCCAGTCATTTTTAAATTTTGTAGTGGATTTGGAGGATCAAGACTGTGGGGGAAGGTAACAACTAATGCTAAAGAGTATTCTTGACACCTTCAAGAGCTCCCTGTTACTTCCTTCCAAATCATCCATAAAATATACTTTGTTGCAAGCTTCGACACATGTCTTCTATCGACTTCACAGCCTTTTACCTGCCAAGAAGTCTACATAGGATTGTCACCATCTGACATTGCAATATTGTACAACAAACAATTTTAACATCAAACTCCATATTTTGAGCCGATGAAGGGGAGTGTGGAGAAAAATTGCTGAACTTTTCTCCCAACCCCTTAACATAAAATTGTGGCTGATGTAGATTCCTCTCTTCCTTGTTAAGAATATTAACTGCCAACAAACTCCTTAGTTTCCTATGTTTTTCATTTCTCTTTTTGCATGGTGGTGGTGGAGTCTCAATTTTGTCATAGCCTTCCACCAGAACTAAATCACTTACTTTCATAAGCAGCTGCAACTGCAAAGATTGGGTGGTGAATTTCCCAATCCACATTCTTTGAATCGAGAATGCTCAGTAACTGACTGTGCATAGACCAACTCATTTGCTACACATAAATTTCCCAATTTAAAAAGATTTTTATTCGAGCTCAAATCAGGGCATAAAAACCATCATATCTGTCCATTTCCTGTTGGTCCTCATGTTATATACCGAAGAAAGAAATACGTTAATCTTGTTTGACTGTCAATCTCGAACAGCTCTTCTAGGTTGCTCATTTCAGAAGATCAATCCACCAGAGTTCTCTACCATATAAATGACCCAGTAGCAGATTTATCCGAACCTAATTAAACTCCTGTAATACTCATCTCTTACACCACTTCAAAATTGATTGACTTCTACAATAACGGCAATGAATTTATAATATGTTGGCTTTGATATAATCAAACAACAGTCTTCGAAAATCGATGTTGCCTCTGTAACTTTAGCCAGCAAACCTCCAGTTTTGCCCTTTTTTTCCGAAAGTTGGAAAAATCATCACCATCTGTTGCCTCTAAAAGAAAAGTGATGTTACTGACATTCCATCTGTCATCTGAGTGTTCTTACTCCCACCACCTCAATGGGGTGTCCATCTTGATGTCAATCACCACTCTAGCGCTGAAGTAATCGACCTCTGCAAATGGTGCCCAGCCAATTGCTTCCTTTGCCTTTAACCAGATTCTACACTAATCAAGAAACAAGATATTGGGTTGCCTCCTACCATGTGAAAGGTCCTATCATTGAGTTGACCGGCCAGCTTCAATTACATCCTTGCATCTTGTTTTGTGGATGATCTAACTGGAAATAATTTATTGGAATGAATATACGGTCCAAATTATCAGGAGATATTTATAGAAGCTTCATCTCGGGGAGCTGATGACACCCACTATATATTGTGGGTGGCTTTTGCTAACATAAAGCATCAGCATAAAGTTGTTAAGTCTTTGAGATGAATCACTTAACATGCATAGTGTCCTTCTTAGTTCACAGAAACAAGGTTAATGATGTAATCAAGGTTCAGATGTCTTGCGTTGTGGCACTGAAAAGAAATATAGAAATTTTTATTTACAAAGTTCTTAATTGGTAATCCATGTACAGCAAAATCTACAGGTGTTGACAAAGAGCAATCATAACAATAAAGTTTTGTTGGACTATTTTATTACTAGAAGAAAGTTAAGTCTGCAATTTTTCCATCAAATGTTATTAGAGAGTTCACGCAACAGTTGCTTTTGAAAATTTCATTTACAATTTGCAAGAAATTAGCATTAAAATATATGGAAAGTGCACAAGCAATAGTTGTCATATATTCAGAGCTTTAGTTTGGTTGAAATTAGGATACTGCTAAAAGGCTCTCTTTTGTTTCCTTGTGGAAAATTAGGCTTTCATAGGAGTTCCCATAAATTGTATGGAAAGTGCACATGAAATAGTTGTCATGATTTATTAGTTAGATATTCAAATAATCAATTATCTAATCTAGTAATGTTCGTGATACATCCGCACCGTTTTGCCAGATACATTGCAGAAAACTATTCCAGGATTCGGGATGTTGAACGAGAATTATCAAATCTCACCATGGAGATGAAGCTTACTGCTGGGCCAAAGAAAGCTGGTATGAGTTTGTCTTTGCTACTTCATGTATTATAAATATGTCCTGACAAGTCTGGCTACACTCTTTCTTACCACCAGCACTTGAACACATGCGAAAGAAAATTGAAATGTCAACCGAAAGAATTCATATTGCTAAGCTGAAAGAATCACAAGCGAAACAGGTACGCCGTTTTTAGAATATATTCAGGCTTGGACTTTTGCACAAATTGTAAGTGCACAAAATATTCACGACAATGCAATATTCATACAACATTCCCCTCTCTCATGGTTTTCCTATTATGTTACTGCCTACTGGATGTATGGCTTGCTCTTCTTTTATTTGGATTTAGTTCTGTACTTTGAGATCTTTATTCTAGTTTATTTATGACATTGCCTTGAGGGTAGTGTATTCATTCAAAGAAGATTTGACAGTGCACCAGCTATTGTTACAAGTGAACAACTTTTACTTTATAAATCAAAGAATTGAAAATTTAAGGACTGAAGTTTAAAATAATAACATCGACCAGGAGATTTGGATCCTTCTCAAATTTAAGATAATAACCTTTCTTGGACACTAGGTAGAATCCCTTTCATACCTCCACTCCTATGGTTGAGCCAGATTATAATCTACCTTTCTGTATACTTGATAAGAATATAGTGTCTTAAAGGGGAAAAAGAATTTTGGAACAAGTGTTTCAGTCTGGGTAAAAAATATTTCCAAATCTGTGTCTTGTTCTTCACTTATCCCAAGATTTCCCGAAATATTTGTCAATGTAGAGAATTGGTACTATATGAAGGTTAATGCCCATTTTGCTACTTAAGTTTAAGGATGGAACTTAAGCTTCTTAATGTAGAGATTATCCCCACTCCGTGTTTTTCTTTTCCTCTTTTGCCCTTCTTGTTTTAATTGTCAATATAGGAAAATAATGTCAGTTTCAGGTTTCTTGATTTTTCCACTTCCATTCATAGTTTCTTACTTTCTCTAATCAATATCACACTGAATTCTAGGTGTGGGAAGCAGCAGCAAAAACTGTGAAGGATGAGGAAGCAATTAAGCAGAAGCTTTGTGAAGATTTAAATAATCTGGTAGGAATCCTTTAACAGAGACCTCAACTTGTTTAATTTTGCTTATATTTTCCTGTAAACAATTCTTGTTTACAGGTTCAAGAAAGTAGTAACTCCCAGTTTGCTAGACTGGAGGAATTGAAACGGCGGCTGGAGGCTTTAAATCCTAACAGATTGTCCACTAACTTGACCTCTGTAAGCTTGAATTCCCGTTTATCTTTATGTAGGAGATTATTTCTGAATTTGTATGAGATTTGGGTCCTATCTATGCCCAAGTGTGATGTCCTTTTCCTGATGGTTCTTATTTCTTAGCTGTTAGTTATTTTCCAAGAAAATCCAATCCTTAACAGTCTTAATCTGATAATATTTCTTAGATGTTAGTACCACACAGTTTCCAAGGGGTGTGATACAATTATTAAATGATAGGCTTTCTCTCTTCAATTGATCATTGTACTTCATAATTGGCATGTTTGCACAGTGAGCAACAATGAGGAGAAAGGCTTACTATATTTCTGGTAGTCATTTCATTTGTTCAATAAGAAGTGGGTAAAGAATTTGGCCCAAAATGCACAGATGGGGAGGATATTGATATTCATTAGCATCAATATGCTATAATGATAGTACATCATACTAACAAATTGAAAATTATTAAGAAAGTCGACCCCAATCTTATTGTGTTTACTATTGATTTACATCATGGGAAAAGTTACTTCTATTCATTTCGAATTGTTTACAAATTCTTCTTACTTGCAATGTAATCAGTAAAGGTCGTCAAAGTTTGCATATCTTAGTAATCTTCTTTTTAACTATTCGGTTTAGGCTTTAAAAAGTAGTTCATTCTTAGGTCACATTGTTCATTTTTGTAAAATGAGCTCCTACAAGATGCTGAACTTTCACTTCTTTAAGATTACCTTTTGAATTTTAGCTAATACCAATGAGTTTGATTAGTACACCCTCTAATGCAATTGTTGTATTTTATATATACTAACTTCATCTGAAGAGAATGAACTATTTACATAGAGAAATTGAGCTGCACTTGCATGTACATTCATGTTTCCTGAAAAGCTGCATGGCTTTGGCTTGAATTCTATGTTTAGGGAGTGGACTCAGGGGAACCAGCACAGACTAGTATAATTCAAGATGCTTCAGAAGTTCAAAGCACATCAAAACGAGCTGGTGGATCGGTGGTAAATATATCTAATCAAGGGAATTTTAGTAATATTCCCCTAACAAACTGTGAAAACCAACAGTCTGTTATTGATGGAGAGGGAAGAGGGAAGAAGAAAAGTATGTTCCAAGGGAGACTAAAAGGAACAGGAGCAATAGCCAAGTGTAGAGGTCCGGCAGCACCTGGTTGGACTGGGGCTGGGTTTGATGTGGATGGTAGAAGTTGAGAGTAGCATTTTGAGAATCTCTTGCATTAAAGGGAATAGGTATATTGCTTATCCAATTTTTTAAAATTAATTTATTAGCTGCTCTTTTCTTATTTTGTATCCTACAACTTTCTGCTTAGTCAATTATTTCTTTCATTTTCATGAGATATGACTACTCTAAAATTGCAGAACGTCTCGTAAATATTTTGCTCATTAATGATAGATTTGTGAACTTGATAATTGTGATTCATTAGCAATTTTGATTCAGATTTATAATGATTGTCTTGATTATCATATATGAAACTTATGGAGACTTGTAGGCAATGACACTCCCACAATAAAACAGCGAGACATGGTAAAAGCACTGTAGTACATGGAAGGGTGATGGTTATACTGATTAGGATGTACGGTGGTAAAGAAACATTACAGCTTATGAATTTCTGAAAAAATGGTCGAAGGAATTTTATTGTGCTTTATATTTCGGTAATTCGTATCTGGCCGATTCACTAGATAAATCTTATTGAATGCCTTTCTTGGAATCAAATTTGCTTTTAACTATTCTTAGAATTTGCCACACGGCCACCATTTGATCCTCTCAAGAAATTTGAATTACCGGGAAGAAACTCATATAGAAAAAGGAGCTAATGACCGTCTCCAGTTTCCCACGATCTTCTTTCTGAGTGTACTACTGACATGGAGCATCAGAGTAAATAAATAAATAATAAATAAATGTTTGAGATTTTCATTAATTTGCTTAATTTGGAGTTTTTGCGTTAACTACAGTTGTTTTTTTTTTTTTTATGATTGAATGAATTTGTTTACAGTATATGCGGTGAGGTTTTGCCCCTCTGCTTCTAATTTTGCCTTGACATTTCAATAATACATTTGCATATAGACTGCTATGTTTAGCTAAAGATCTGGCCATAGGCTAATGCGTAGCACTCTACTATTTTGAATTTTTTTTTTGCATCTCTAGGCTGTATTTTATAATAATGGCCCTGACATTATGCAGATGAAACTTGTACATTTTCGGGTCAACTAAATTAAAGAGGACTTTCTGTAACGTAGTGTACATTTAGCTATAATTGGTACGAGTAGGGTGGACCAAATTATAATCCTAGACGATTTTGCAGTGGATAATAATTTCATTAAACACATGTTGGATGACTTAGTCAGAAGAATATTAAATAGCCTGCTTCCAAATTGAATTGTGGCCTGTTTGAACTTTGAAGTGAGCTGTGAGCTAAGGAAATTTGAGGTATTTGAGGATACTCGATTTGATGAAAGGGCTTTCTTGTGGTTGGTAGGCTTGCCTAAGAAGCGTGATTGGTAAGTTAAATTTAACACCATTCGTAAATGATCAGAAATCACGGGTTAAGTTTAGTCTAATGTATCAAACATGTCATCAATGCAAATGAGAAGAATAGAAAAAAGTTGCATTTGTAAAAGATGGAATTAATCCTGTTACTGCTGTTGTTTGGCCTAATTCTTTCACTCCTATCGAGAAATTTTTGAACTCCCCAAATTAGGTAAGAGAAGAAAGTAGTTACAAAATTCATTTCTCCATTACTATCCTAAATTATTAAATTGGACATCAATAACCCAACCCGTAAAATTCATAAAATATTTCCTGTCATCATAAAAAGTAACCTGGGATCTGCCCCCTGCAATAAATTGCATCTGTTTATCTCCCGATGAAAGAATAGAAACTGGAAAATTTCAGACACTGGTGCCCTTGTCAAGGTCTTACCCTGCAAGCCATCTTCAAAGTAACATTATTTTCAATATGGGGTTGGCCTAACATTGAATTTAAATTGTCACAATCAATTTTACCAACTTACTTGCACAAATAGTAGTCTTTCATTGAAATATGCAAGTCAGACTCTTTTCATGGATCTCTTTCCACCATTAATGTTGGCTAGTACTAATAAACAGTTTTTGGTAAAACATTTATAATTGTGTCTCTTGACTGCATCACATTTATATTTCCATGTGCGCTTTGGTTCATATTTAGTAAATGAGTCACATTTTTTTGGTTGACACACTTTAAATTCTTATTCATTATGTTGTCAAATTCTGTTCATGTATACACCCTTGATTCGTATCTTTCAAATTATATCACTTAATATTAGGAAACTCGCATGAGATTTAGACTCTTTAGTATATTGAATTAAGTAAGATTAAATAGAATTAAGAAAGAGATTGACTCGAGATTTTGATTGATTGTTCTTCCACCCCACCCTATTATCTGTTACACTGTTGATTTACTTTTAATCAATATTCGATAACACATGCCCCTGGGGGCAAAACCCAATGGTGTAAAGGATATGAGTGACTTAACCTTGTTGACAGTCGCAGTGTGAGGGTTTGATTTTTGAGATATGTAATTGAACTCTTTGTGGATATCAGTGTACGGGCAAGTTCTTGTTCCCTGGTTTGCTGGGCACATCCCGTGATTTACCTTCCTCACGATACTTAATGGGCGGGGCGTTGAGAGCCCTCAAGGTTGGGGTTCAACTTTTTTTTTAATAATCGATAACACATGTTTTTGTTTATAGTATTATAATTGAGGAATAGTGCAGTCAGTTTTATAACGGTTCAGTCCATCATGTGGTACAGTGGTAGGAATACTGAAAACTGGCACTCATTTCCCTTACTCGACACGTCTCTTGTACATCTACACCCACGCCTAGGATAGAATATACATACACATACGTATGCTTCTGTCTCTCTCTACGTGTGTATAATATAATTTTGTCACTGACTATTCCAGAAATCTAAAAATATTGCTGACTCCCTGCACTTGTGTCTTTGCGTCCTTATCTAGTTTCAATTTTTTATTTTCGCTCTTTTATAAATCCACATGAATTCAAATTGGACATGTCAAACCCCTCAAATGATGTGAGATAATCGCATCAGGTTCTGTCCTACAAAGATGGATTTACATTTTTTTGTTCTGAATTATAGATTACTTTTTTGTTGATAGTATAATTAATGTTTTAATATACTTTTATTTAATGTGTCTTATTATCCATAAATATGAACTAACATTTTTTAATTTAGGGACTAATAAAAATGTACGTAAATTTATAGTTTCCACATATTATTTTAATCTATATGAAAATATAAACAAGCTTATTTTATGGAACAAAAAAAAAATATCTTTTATTTAATTTCAAGATTGTCATTAAAAAATTATTTCTCTTAACATCTTATTTCATTGTTCGTTCAAATCGCAAGTTATGTTAAAGAAAAAGCTATAAATATAGTAATGGCAGAATGCAATTTTTCGTGTATATTATCTAGATACATCAAAAAGCAACTTAAATACATCTTTATTAGTAATTTTTTTTCCTTGATACTTAAAATTGAGATCATATGTCGAGCCAATGCTACTAAAGAGAGTAATGAAGTCATGTGCTAGACGGAGTATACTTTCCTAAAATGTGAAGGAAAATTTCATTAGAATTTACTAACATAAGGTAGACTTAAGATCCTAAAGAATTTTCTTTTATTTTATTATTATTATTATTATTATTATTTGTGTGTGTGTGTGTGTCTATGAAAAACTTTATGAAATGTGATGTGACATATGTACAAATGTACTTGCTTGTTTGGGTATTTTTTTTTTCTTGAATTGTGCTACCTGTACAGGCACAGAGCTTGTATAGGTACACACATGAGGTGAATCCCACACATGGGGTCCACCCCCCATGTCAGATGCCCTGTACAACAGGGCTTGCGAAGGAGGTTTTTTCCATTTTTTTTACATCTAATTTTGAAAAAATTGTAACCAATATCTCTAATTTATTGAAATTTGCACCACGGGGTAGGCAACTTTTCTGCAACGGCTGGATCTCAGACTTTTTAATTTTATATCTTTAATGCCCTCTTTAAATAGTTTGTCGATTGAATGAAATTTAGATAAAAAGGAAAATGAAACATAAGCACGTTACTAAGCATTCATGATCCATGTTAACAAAGTTAATTAAATTAATAATTACACTAAACGTCAAATTCATAAAACGAAAAAAATAAAGTTCCAAATTTTGTTGGTCAAAATAGAAAAAGAAGATGATTTGCACAAATCTTAGACCGCTTACACGTGGACTGCCAAGAGGTAACGAATTGAATCTTACCACGTGGAAGAACCGTGTGACATCTATCAGACTCTGTTATAGCCTACTGTACGGGCACTGTTATCTGCAAGGGTTTCATGCACTAAGGAATCCACAATTTCACGTTCAATCTCACTCACTATTCCTTCACCTTCTTCTTCGAAAAACGCACGTGATCCTCCAAGTTGAGACTTACAGAAATCTTTATCTATCAGTGCATCTATATCCTTAAGAACCCGGCAATTTGCTGCAGGAAAGCTTTGTATTCTCATGCATAATTTGTCAATCAATTCTGAACCAGAAAGTTTGGAAGTAGCACATGTGACGATACAGTTGTGGGGTCTTACAATTTCTGCTAAAAGTTCATCCACTAGTTGAAAAATGAGCTTTCTGTTGCAGCGGCAGTTCAAAACGGTGGTGGCAACCGTGGTGGTGGGGTGGAAGAGTTCAAGATAGTGAAAGATTGAGGGGTCAAGGAGGGGGCGAGAAGGTGAATGCAAGTTGTATAGGGAAATTACTGGGGTGGGTTTGTCTGTGATCCCAATTCGTTTAAGGATTGTTTGAATGTACTGTCTGTAGTCGCGGGAGGGGATAGGCTCTTTTGTTTTGTCTTGTTGGGTGTTTTCTTGGATGGTGAATACTGTTTCATGTTTGTACGAATGGCTCGAAGAACAAGATAACTGTGTACTCCTTTTCAATACATGAGAATCTGGTACCTGTGATTTAATCGATCCACCAAAAAATAAAAGAAAATTTACTTCGATCGGTACAATATTAAAGAAGAAAAAGTTCAGTAGGCTCGTCATTATATTATTCAATTAGCGCATACCAAACACAGCTTGAAGAACATAATAGAGTATGCATTTGTATATGGAAAATAAAACTAAAACTATGGGACTTAAATTGTATATCAAAAAAAGGAGGATAAATCTGCATACCTGTTTCTGAGGTAACTTTGTGGCTGGGGGAGAAGGGTCTTTCTTGACTGGAAACAAGGTTGGAACGTTGATGTTGGGAAGCTCATTTGACAATGAAGTTTTCTTGGATTTCTTGTCTACTAGGTTGACTCTATATGATGTTAACGTTGACCGAACTAGTATCTCCTCTTTCTTGTTCCTTACAGAATCAGAAACTTGTGGAGGTTTCTTGATTTTTGAACTTGCAACTTCCTTGCATTTCTGATTGAAATTCTTCTGCTGTTGCAATGGAACTTGAGGCTTTGGCTTTGATGATAATGATGAAATAGCGAATTTTGGAGACTGAGAAGTTCGATTTTTGCTGTTTGGTGTCAATTTCTTGCCCTGATGAACAAGTTCTTCATCGATTCTTGTTAAAACTTTGGGTGGTTTTCTAAGAAGATTTTCATCCCTTCTTTGCTCTTTGTTCTGAATTGTGTTGGTGATATCCTTCAGGCCAACTTTTCTATTAAAACTTTCTTTTACTTGCTTCACAATCTGCTTAGCATAATGGCCTGGACTCCTATTTTGATCATTTTCTTGAATAATTCCTCTCCTTGTAGCAATTTTCTTGACTGCAGAATATTCATAATCTTGACCAATATTTTCTTTGTTGATTTGCAAAGACAGCCTGTGATGATGATCCACATCTGATCTTCTAGCTGAAGAAATTCTTGGAGTTTCAGGCAACGAACGAGCACCATTGATGCTAATATCATCATCAGAATAACTAATTCTACTGCTTCTTGATCTGCTATGAATCAGGTTTCTTGAATGCAAATGGGATTTTGTTTTCGAAGGATTCGAACTTGATGAAGAAGAAAATGCAGGCGAACCACATTCTGGAAGAAGATCAAGACCCATGAGTCTAGCTACTAAATTTGGGGTTTTTGTTCCTGGTGAATTGATGATGTTGGATTCTGATACGCTTGTTCTTGATTTCATTTGAATTGGCGCCTAAAAATATTTCAGAATCCAAAAACCAAAAATTAACAATAACTCAACTGCATAATAATTAATTATCATCTTACTTTATACGTTGGAAAATAATCACAATTAATATATACTTACTGGTATTTTAAAATTTTTTTCCTCCAAGGGAAATGAAGCAGCTTTCATGGCAGGCTCCTCTAACTCCAAACTGTTTCTTGGTGCTTCCACTCCTGCATGACAATATATTTTTTTCATAAAATTCAACATATTTGTAAAATCAAACTGAGAAAAAAAAGTGCGAGGTTGGAATAAGACCTTTGGATTTGGTGGTGTCTTCTTCTTGATGGAAATATCCAGGCTGCTGATTCAAAGGAAACTGAAAATGATGTAAATCGAAGAGTTGAAAAACTGCACACATGCAGCCAGAAGAAGTTGCTTCTCTCACTTCACCAACCATTCTTCTTCTCCTATTGGACCTATTCCTCTCACCAACGCCACTACCTCCGCCACCGCCACCGCCACCGCCACCGCCAACCCAATTCAACCACTCTTTGCCCATAAATATTTCTTTCTCTTTACCAAACAGAGTTTAAAAAAGCTCTCAACAGTGAGTTATTAAACTGAAAATGACACCACTGATAGTTCTTTTTGAGATGAAAGCAACTGGCTAAACAATGCTAGTGCTTAGGAAGCAAAAAATGCGGATCGATGAATCAAGAACTGACGACCCCATATTAATTCCTGCAAGAAAATTTAATACAGGCCTACAGTAAACACACAGGGCTACAGTAAGCACCAAGAAACATCTCTCTATATTGTATACACAAAGAGATATATACACGTTCTCTCTCTTTCTGAGTTTCTATCTCCTTATCTACCAGTTTATTACACTCACTCCCAAGCATCACCAGCGATCTCCACCCCCACCCCCACCGCCAACCCAATTCAACCACTCTTTGCCCATAAATATTTCTTTCTCCTTACCAAACAGAGTTTAGAAAAGCTCTCAACAATGAATTATTAAACTGAAAATGACACAACTGAGAGTTCTTTTTGAGATGAAAGCAACTGGCTAAACAATGCTAGTGCTTAGGAAGCAAAAAATGCGGATCGATGAATCAAGAACTGACGACTCCATATTAATTCCGGCAAGAAAATTTAACACAGGGCTACAGTAAACACACAGGGCTACAGTAAACGCAAAGAAACATCTCTCTATATTGTATGCACAAAGAGATATATACACATTCTCTCTCTTTCTGAGTTTCTATCTCCTTATCTACCAGTTTATTACACTCACTCCCAAGCATCACCAGTAATCTCTCTCTCTCTCTCTGCGTATGCACATATATCTCTTTCTTGGGAATAGGGAGGGTGACGATATGACTACGCTCTTTACAGCTCGGAGAACGAAGCAAATAAGTGTCCATCCATCTCCTTGAGTTTTTAATACGAGGTCGTTTAGTGGGGTCTGCATTCTTTACTATTATCATCCAACCTTCTTAATTTGAAATCCTCACTTGCAGTTTATTTACCAAGGGGGTGTTTGGGGAGTGATTTTTTACCCCCCAAAAATTTGATTTTTTGACATTGTTTCACTATTTTAGTCGTAATTTTAAACTTCTTCTTTCACAGGTGACCCCCATTTTTCTCCTAACGGTCAAAAAATCAGTTCTCAAAATCCCTATTGAACAGGATCTAAATAATTATTATAAACTATTATTTTTCAAACATAGAATAAAAATTATTTTGATATAAGGATGCCATAATCAAGATGGTAGGAATTAGTAAATTTGAAAGAGAGTTTGAGCATCTTCATAAAACTTTCTAAATACAAAGTGTTCTGTATTTTATAGAATTAATGCTTAAAGATATATTTTAAGAGACTTTTTATTTTAAATTTTTTAAATAGAATCAAATCCAATCTCTCTATGTATATAAATGATCTAATGAATACATGTAAGCACTGATAATTTAATTTGTGCGTTTTGAATATATTATTTTATGAAAATTATAGTTTATAAATAGCTCCATAAAAACAATAACATTAAAAAATAATGAAAAAATAATATTATAGACACATTTCTTGAAAGATCCCATCCAACGAATCTTATATAATTTGTTTTATTCTTAATTAATTATATCATTGATTACACTTTACTTTATTATTTTTATAATTTATATTACATTATTCAAAATTGAAATATAAATTAATTTGAAAATTCATTCTCCAACAAACTTAGAAACCATTTTCACACTTTTTTCTTATTTCTATCTAATATCGACGTGTTTAATTGACAAATACATTTTGGTTAAAAATATGAAAAAAGTTAATAAAATAGTAGTTTATTCATAAATTATGATTTATAGGCCTTTTGCTCACAAGATTCCCGACAAGTAGTATCCGTCTTTCAGTTGACAGAATTGCCCCCCACTACGTGCCCCCTTTGTCTTCTTTCATCACTAGATACCTAATACCTATTATTTTTAAAAATTCATGTCATTAGCAGTCGAGATCTCCAGGTAGACGAGAGAATCTTCAGTGATGGCGTGCCCGCCCAATGTCGAGACGCCATCTCGACGAGTGGCTCAATTCTGTGCGATCGCCCTATTCAAATTTCTCTTCCCAATAGACCGTTTCTTGTAAGTAGTTGCCAATGCCCAATGATGGTTGAAACAATTCGACTCTTGCAAGAATGCAACACGATCTATCATTTTAGGAAAAATTAGAACTAAGATCTTAAACCCTTCAATTAGCATGATTTTAGGTTCCTTTACCTATCTTTATTAAGTAAATAATGGTTCCATGCAACAACGTTGAATTTGTTGGGAAAAAAGATGGATCGAGTTAATTATAAAGCATATGATTGCAAACAAATAATAATATGTAAGGCAAATAGTTAATTGACAGAGAAATTGAGTATTTTATTCAATTGACTAATATGGAGAAAACAAATACAATAACTAAGCCTATATTTCAGTAATATAAAACTTGTGGTACATATCCAACCATAGAAATACCATAAAATGGAAACAATATCAAAAATCACGTGGATTAAAGGAAATAATATTTTTCCAAAAAATCCAATGTAATTTGGGTCAAAAACCCAACCGAATGGAACATTAAAATCGTCACATGCTTCATATAATTTAAAGTTAAAAGACAAAAATCATCAAATTATAACTTCAAGTTTGGTGAGAATCACGTTTAATTTTAAGATCTACATCGACAGTTTAATGTAATGATGCATATTCACGTATTAAAATAGGTTTTTTGCGCGTTGTGTGACCACCTTTCTCACTTCACATATGCTCTTCACAAGTAGCACTACACCTTCAGAGAGAGGGCTGTGATTATTTTATCTCAGATCTCAGACTATTTAACTTACATATATACCATTTGAATACAAAACCTCTCCATTACATCCTTCCTTAAGAGTAATTTAATTTGAAAATCGATACCAATTATGCAACTTGTCCAATTAGTATCAATATTCAATTTAAGTACCTCATAAGGTAGAGATCTTTAAATTCGAATCGTTGGGACGCGAAAGATATTTGCACTATAGCCAAACCCCTAGTGAACAATACGTAAGTAAATGATGCATGGAATATTAAGACCGATCCATCGAGATCGTTGTCAAAATCACTCAAAATCTTGACATATATCTGTGATCAGCAGAACCCACTAGTATCCTAAATAGTACCTGCCCCGATAAGAATCATTAACATGAAGGTACATAAATTGAAAAAAAGATCCCTCAATAAACAAAACAACAAAAGCTCCGACCCGAATCATGGCCCATTATGCTCTTTCGTATGGTACTTGAGTGAAAGGTACATGGCACCATACAGTCCCCATATGAACCAGCAACTAACCACTACTTAGCTTTCAAATTGTTTCCATTCTATTATTTCCTTGTCGCTTTGTATGCATACGGCATAGATGTCCTTTGACTGGTGCTTTTGATGATGTATTCTCACTCCTTGTCTTGTGTAAGAAACAAAAATTTTGTATATGCAACTATAGAACTCGATCATATATTAATTTTTGCAGGGTGATTTTGATATTGCACTAGTTTCATGATAGGTGAAAGGAATAGTTGCACGAGTTTGTGTCGATATTAGAGGTTATACCGAATTGATATGGCTCGATTTTGAAGTGGCTTGCTATTATTACTTTGCCCAAAATATGGTATGCATTAAATTGTGTAACTTGAATCTACAGTATGAAAATTAACCTTTTTGAGCTTTTGTTAATAGACATGTCCATGTCGCTCGTAAAGATGAAAGCCAGGTTAGCCCACGACACTATACAAGTTTATCTAGATTGGGTCATGCATTCCCAGGCTGAAGTTTGTTCGTGTTGAGTTGCGGAGCTTGATTGGTCATCATGTTCTAACTCGTCTTGTGGATATTAACATTGTGTATGCCTTGCTAATAGACATGTATAGGTTGCTAGAAGAGGCAATATATAAAGTTTAAAGCGTGATTGTAAACATTAAAAAGAAAGTTCTCGGACTATATGATCAACAAGTCTGCTAAAAATCAATAACTGCTATTTCTTAATTTTTTTTAATTGAAGGTTGGGGATTGATTTGCACATTTTGACAAAGTAGGAGACCTCCACTATAATTTTCTCGATATGGGTTATTTGTAAAGATGAGATACCGTTGTGTCGAAGATAAACTATGGTTTAATTCATTTTTTTTTTTTTCAGCTTGACTTCATTTTTAGCACTATGTTCTTTTAATTTCCTATTTAAAAGTGGAGTTTTTTTTTTTTTTTTGGAAGAATTCAACACCATTGATGCAATTTCAATTAACTTAGCCCCTGTTTGGTATTAATTTAAATCAGATTTTTATCTATGTCAAAATTAAACAATCATTATTAACCACTTTTTTATGGGTCCCACAACATTTTAGCCATACATTTCAAAAATTTCTATTAAAATTTACTAAAAATCTAATTTTAATCTCCATAAAAAAAAGCTTAGTGAATTAGGTTTACTTTCTTTACAACAACAGCCACTGCATTGTTTCTTTGGCTTTTCATTAGACAAAGTAATGTTTTGAGTTTTTTCTCAATTTCTTGATCCAAGCCAGTATTTTCGCAATCAACGGTTTTGTTGATAAAAATCAATTCTTAATATTCATTTAAGAGCTAAAGGATTTTGGGTTATTGGATTATCTCTCAAGATTCAATTAAAATCAATGAGTTTCTCTATTTTTAGACTTCTGCCTCTATCACTTATTTACATACGATGTCAAACACATAGTGAAAAATTGCAGATGATAAAATAAGGGTAATTTAGTGGAGCGTCGCAATCTGATTTATACAGTATTTTTCTAAAATAAAACATTGAGCAGTTGTTGACATACTAAAAGTGCAGCCCAAATCGAATAGCCCAAGGAATGAAGCCCAATTGAGAAATTCTCAAATCAAATAACCCAAAGAATGAAGCCCAATTAGGCAATTCAGGATAAAGGCCCAGACAGGGTTATTAATGAATGCAGTGGAAGCCCACGAACACAGTAACATCATCGCTCAAACTTGCAAGACGCCCAAGATCTGAGCGAATAGAGTGTCTTACAGTCGCTAGAGCGATGACCCTGTTCTCGCCCATACCTTCGAATCGCCCAAAATCTTAGCAAACATAAAATGTTATGATTATCTAGAAATACAGTTATTGAAGCAGTTATTGAGTAACTTTATCACATTCCACGATTCAATGAACCCAGTTGAAGGCGGTTGAACGACAAAGAGTAGTGGCAGCAGTTAGAGACGACAGTTCCACGACAAGTTAGTAATCATAAAGAAAATGGGTAGTTATAAAGCAATCAAGTAGTTTTCAAGCGGTTTATCACGAAAAAATCATCAAGGGAATATAAATGGAAGAAAAGACATAGAGA